AAATAGACATCGTACACGGCAATGGTACAGCCGCCCATGTATGGCGGTGACTGCAAATATTTGAGCGTAGTGCACTGGCACTCGTGGCGTGGCTAAAACGCTTTCGTCACTGATTTCTTTACGAGGCATTTGCAAGAAAACGGTTCAAGCTTTTTTGAAAATTTCAAGTACACTGTAAAGGTTACATCCTGTCGAATCGGAAGAGGAAAAAATCCGAAAGAAAATCGGTCTGTGGAAAATGGTATTTTAGGTGTTTCACTTAAACGACCATCGCCCATTCACTTTCCATAGTGTTTCACTTAAGCGACCATACGGCATACGGGTAGTCTACGAAGGCAAAATCAGAAAAGTGGTACAAAACTTTTGTGTTCGCATCAGCATTGTCCGAGTGTATAACAATAGTGTTATATTTATATCCCACAAAAAGAGTTGAAAGATTGTTTTGTAGTTTCCAGTATAGCCTTTTTTTGTAGTGGCCAGTGCCCTCTAAAACAGCGTTTTGAAGCGCAATGAAGTGGCATCAGCGTTCGTCATAAAATTATTCAGCTAGCTTGGCAGATCTCCCTAATGGTCTTTTACGATGATCCTCTACTCCTACAGACTATTGCTGGATATGGGCGTAACGCTAGTCTTTGGGGACGGCATTTCATTCATCTCCCGGTCTCCACCTCGTCGTGTATTGTCTCCGTTAGCGAACGTTATAGGGAACCATGTTCGGCAGACTCGACACACTGGATCAGCGACTAGCTCCATAAAGCGGCGTCGATACTGGCGTTCGGTCAGCAGATACAGAGGGTGTTCACGCCAAGTGCGGCCACTAACTAAAATAATTCCTATTAAATTTCCATAACAGAGTTATTTGTCGCAAGCTATTGTTATATTTAACTTGAAGCCTGCCTTACCATTTGACGTTTGTTAGAATGTTTGAAAAAGAAAAACAGAAGTTTAAATGAGGCACCGTGATTTATCGTTTGTAACATTTTTTTTACTTACTTTTCGATTTGCCAGATTTCGAAGCATTCGAAATGTATAGGTTGTTACTTTATTCGATAAGCCATGAGAACATCTAAACAAGAAATTTGAATGAAAGAAGATAAAACATCAGCAAGAGAAAAAACTCGAAAACGAAAAAATGAAAAAAACCTAAAAAAAACTTGGAGCGAGAGACGTTTGGGTTCGAAATTCAATGCCGCTGTATCAACCCAGCCCTTTTCTTTTCTCTTACTACTAATACCACTGCAAGGTCTGTTACATAAGATATGCTCAAGTCATTTTTGCGGAAAGACCTCCTAGACCTGTATTCAGGGAAGAAAGGAAGGGAAACTCTCCTTCAGGACACCCCTAGGGCTTATACAGTCAAAGAACCACCCCAGTAGCTTAAATCTCAACGAATCGGATATAAACTAAAGAACAAGACTCTTGACTATTCTTTAAAAATTACTTTACACCATACCGTAGATTAGAGAATTTTAGAGTGAATTTTATGACGAAATGGTATGCCGTCGTTTTCCGATTTGTTCCGTGATTCCCGCAGACCCTGTTTTACTTTTGAAATTCCAGTGATTTTCAAAACAGTTTGCAGTTGACGAAAACTGGATGGATTGATAGCTGATAAAAAGTGCTTTCAGATAATTAAGTTGTTAAATTAAAAACTCTGCGGACGAGCGTGAAATAAATTTATGAAAAAGTGGCCGCACTTGGCGTGAACACCCTCTGTAGACGCAGAAATTCAACGAATAACCGCAATATGTTGCCACTGTGATTACTGGTGTTACAAGGCGATATGTGCTGAAATCTGACAAATAAATTAACCGTGGTATGTTATCGTCAACCGGTGCCGCCCATGCGCACAAGTCAAAAAACTTTGGGGTGCACGTGATGAGGTACAACAGCGCACTGCTCAGCAGGATGATGTTGACTCCGTGCTGGGATAGTGTTATACTTTGTATTAGCCGAAATGGACGAGGACGCTTCGCTATTACTATTGGCTTGCTGCACCCGGCGCATCTTACGTGCAAGGAAGACAATCACGATTAGGCTAGGAATCAGGATCAGCAAAAATGATAAAATTTTCATCGAAACCTGCAAATAATAGCTGTGTTTCGGTAATTAATTTGCAAGGGAATCAAATTTGCTTAAATAGCGTATTTAGTTACCGCTTATAACTCATGCCCTTCTGCGTTTCGACATTATGGAACTGCTGCTTCTTAACGTACATAGTCTTTCTGCGTTAACCATAAAAGCTTTAAGCGTACATACCGCCGCCTTTAGTTCTATGTCGGACTAAACAGTATACCATTCAGGGGGAGGTTGGTCAACTCCCGGACGGAAGTGATACCAAGCACTGTAACCCCCGACAAGAGAAGAAGTACCACAAGCGAGCGACCAAATGACGAGAATGATAATAATCAGGCGCGATGTTGTTACTCGTTGCAGAAATCCAAATCGGAAAGGAGACACAATCACTGCAAGTAGTCGTTCCCAGGAAAACACGACCAAGATCCTGTTAATGTGATGATCAATACGCCAGTAGAAGCTTGCTTGCCAGTAGAAGGTCTAGAGGCAGTTTCGATATCGATCGCTCTCTGCTCGGTTATACAGATACTATTGCGGACAGTGGTCGGTGTCTAGGTAGTAGCAACCTTGAACTCTCAACCGGCCCAGGGATGCACCGGTATGTCAGCCCCTTTCGAGCACCCCTTTTGTTATGATCAAGATCCGTATTTTGCTTTAGCTACTATCGAATCTTTCGACATCGTTCACGAACGCTATTATTCTTTGTCACATGTTTTGGAAAGTCACCCTTTGCGAACTATTTTATTCGGTCTATTTTACTTTTTAAAATGTAAAGCAGTTGCATGTAAAGCATGTAAAACTTTTGCGTTTATGATCCAATTGATAGTTTCCAGGTGAAAATACCAGATTCGGTCGCTTCACCGCACCGCTACCACACGACGACACGCAGGTACTTAATTCTGTTTCTGTCTTTCTGGGTATGATATTATTTGTATGGCCTTACCAATCGGATAGATTTTTTGCAGCATCACAAAACACCATAAAAAGCTTGACATACGAAAGAGTTTGAGACTTAGTTCCTCCACAGATAAAAAGTCGATTAGACCGCACCATCCACGATCATAAAAATTTTATGGTTGTGCAAAAGTAACGAGCTCGTGGTATGCACGGAAAGGAAGTTATATCAAAATTAATGTCATGGCCTAGGCATAAATACTTACAGCGCTAACAAATCAACAACGGCCGTGCCGATCATGTACTGCATGTGGAAACACTACGCAAAAGTACCACCAGATTCAGCACGTTGCCCACGGTGCACACGATAGACCTCATGATTTGATCGTCACTATACAGGTTATCACTTGTGGCATTGTCACTTGAGTTATCCTTGCGTGATTCTTTCGCGGAAATGGAGAGCGGGAAGCCACAGTACTCGTCGGGCAACATTTTTCTGAGCTTGATCAAGCCACACAGTGATTTGTCTGCCATGTCTCACGCAGACCTGAAGAGTTTATTCAAGCCCAGACTACGGACTCTGCCGCTTTCCACGTCAAAGCTGCTGAGTGGAATATCGTCTAGCAAGTCTACCACTTGGTATCGCGGATGAAAAGGTCGCTGGTTAATATGATGGTGTTTGTTACGTTTCACTAATGCGGTTTGGTTTCTCAAAAACTTAAGACTTACTTAACAGATCAAAGGACCGTACATGCAACAATGTCAGCATTTTGCAAGCATGTCGAACTTCATCTGTAGCCTGTAGATAATTCAAGTTACCGTTTAACCAGTTGTTGCAGCCGTTAAAGCGGTGTTCAAACATCAGTGTGATCGAATTTGTTGGCCATCGGGACAGCTTACAGTGGAATACGGGATCCGTTCTGCGCTTAGACGGATCTCTGAAAACGAATGTGATCGGAAGCTTAGCATGTTTTTTGCATGACAGTGGGGTTTCCTACACAAGAATGGTATCACTATATATATATATACTGTAATATTCTTCTATTCTTGGACAAAATGAATACTTCTATTTTAAATGTTGTGCACAACCCCCAAATTTCCAATACCGTAGTTGCGTTTTTGTTAAAGAAAGAAACTCCTTGAATGTAACACAAAAGGAACGACGGCGAACCGCACAGTAAAAAGGGCAGAACCGCCTCATGGTTCGCGTTACCAACCTGTTAATCTATTGTAATATCATAGTATACTGAGTGATCCAATAGCTGTACCGTATTGTAGCAGTGATCGAGATCATTCGAATGACGGATCTCATCGAATTAGCGATACTTCTATGGCAGCACACTTTCGTTAGATACGCACAACAGTTATTTCGATTTTTAAATTCCTTTATATCACGCAATGCGTTGAATATACAATGGCTGCAATCATATAGTATGTATTATCATATTGATAAAAAAATCGGGCTGACTATTGTGCTTGTGACTATTGTGATTACCGACTACAGATATATGCCGATTATTATGGCCTGTGCCGAATAACACACAGATAGGTTTGCATAGCTAATAAAGAGAAATATAAATGTTTTACATGAGACATAAGGGCCTTTTAAAGACTGAGGCAAGCGCTCCCTGCAAGCGCTGCTGTCACCCGACTGGAGTTTTACGTTGTGGCTAAACATAATGCCAATGTATCGCGCCAGATTCAACTCTTGATTTCATTGTCGAAGGTACTGTAGAAAACGGTGCCTTGGTTTCTCCCAGTGCGGCTTTGTAAACGAATAATTTCAGGAATCGTCGTGGCTGATGACGTTCCGTTATTTAGTAGATGTAGAATTTCGAAGATTTCCTTTGTAAACTCCTATGTACAAGTATTAGTCTTTTTCGTTTTCTCCATTGCTTGCATGATCTGATCGTTCCTGACTACAGAGGGAGTGCGCTGTGCTTCCACGGACGTGATGCGGTAACAATATTAATATTTTATTAATTTACAAACCAAGATACTGACGTCAAAGTGTTTAAAACGCTTGCGGGGAAAACTATGCGACAAACTGCATTTCGACACAATAACTTCATTAATTTTTATCTAAGTGATGCCTCTGCTGGGCTCGATTATTTACGCATTGACAGTTGTGCAGATGGATGAACGGCAGACCTTTCAGATCTGGTAAGAAAAGACTTTGTGCGTTTTTACGTGATAATAAATCGCTTTAAAACCCAATTGGGGTATGCAGTCTTCCTGGGTCTATCTGTACATCGAATTTGGCACAGTCGTGCTTTTTCTATCTGTGCTTAGGTCTCCACTATATGTACCATGGCTGTCTTATAACTTTGCCGTAAATTGTAAATCAAATATCGACATCCAGCCATAGTCGGATGCTCCTGCGCCGGAATGCCAGAAGTCGACAACAGGGGGTGCCAACATTAAACCGACGTCGAAGAGTTGACCGCGTTGCTTTCCTCCACTTGACAGGTTTCCTTGTCGGGTAACGGCAGTGTTGTCGTGCAACAGGATAACAGCGGCCGGACGACGACGTCTGTAAATCGCTTGCGATAATGTCGCTCGGTCATCAAGTAGACATAGAAATTAAACGTGTAACCAGCCAGACTGCCCAGGTTAATGAAATCATCCGTTATCACCGTAACCGAATTATCGGCATTATACAAAGAAACTGTCCTGTTTCCGGCCAACACGCATATCTGGAACGTCTGCGGTGCGCGCATCAGGAGAAACAGCGCTGCACTACTCAGCAATATGACGTTAATGCTGTTATGGGCGCTTCTCGTCGTCGACGCACAGGACTCTTTACGGGCGTTTGGAATAACGCGCATTTTGCTAATTTCGGATTGACGATAGTATGCGAGGAAACCGATCAGGCCGAAGGTTGGAATGAGGACCAGAAGAAAGGTTAACAGGCGCATAGCGACCTGCAAAACGAAATACTGCCACAAAATGGTCGGTTTTGATTTTGTCTTCGGAAGCGGCGCTCTTACAAATCATAATCGACTGCCAAAATTCGGCAGATAACGTACTTTGGCTGTTGCATGGACTGAAAGCCATTGATGAATCCAGCCCACAGATTTGTCGGCATCGATGCCGTAACGTGCACCGTACGACTGGATATGCGGGTCCGCGTAGTTCACCACAAAATCAATCATGTTGAAGAGGAGCGATAAAATCAGCAGGACGAGGATGGCAATATGCGCTACCGACACACGTTGCAGCCACCGGAAACGAAGCGGGCTGAGGATCACCAAAAGGCGCTCCCAAGAAAACACAACCAGAATCCTGCAATACAAAAGCGTATGTCCTGTTCACGGATAATAAGGAGACAAACCCAGTCTCAATGAGCCAGTCAGTCTGTTGACAGTTGGCAGTCCGCCTCACTGCTTTGCATCAACAGCTTTTTCTACTCAACAACCAGACAGCCGTTTAAGTATCAACGGGAATCGGAAAGTGATTGCAAAACTCATAACATCGATCACTTTGATAACAGTTCACACTATTTGTCCACTAACCAATCAGATAACCACATGGATGTTTCAACAAGCCACGGGACGATACCAAAAGCAATCGATGGTGTATGAGTAATCCGTCCTCGAGTTATCAGCTGGAGGAGATACGGAAGCGTCAACCACCTGCAACATCCAGTCGCGCTTTTACTAACATTTTGTATACGCATTATGCTGCAATTGCAAAACTACTTGAAATGATTTAAAAGCATTTAAATTGATTTGATTTGCATGCAAGATGCCGGGCAACAAATTTTTCAAGTGCCAGTTTTCACGCTAAGTCCGAGAATGTTTTTCCTGCCAAAATGTACTACTAGTACTTTAAAAATAGTACGTAGAAATAATTCGAAATTTTTTAAGCGTAGGGTAAAGAGTATAAAGGCCCTATCGCTTATAAAGATTTAGCGGAAAGGGATTTTCGCGCGAACCCGACGCATATTTTTACTGCGGAAACTGCCAGAAATTCTAAACACATAGTAAATTTTTACGAAATTCTGTTACGAAGCATGATTTATTAACAAAATGTGTAAATGTGCCGAAAAACAAATGCGAGTGTTGTGGAATGCTGCACAGCTAGCCAGTGAGAGATTTTGCTGCAAAACTTGTTTATAAATCCACAAAAAAGAGTACAGCAGAAATATAACAAGTCATTCCAAATTTCTTACAGATAAAGCAAAGGGAAGAAATATTAAAGGTTGCACGTGTGTAACTGGCAAAACCGTCCGGATGGATGAACCTTCGACCGGACGCTTTTGCCTGTAAGACGGCAAAACCGTCGTGCGATCCGAAAAAACCTCTGCCGTATTTTCGCCCATCCCGTTTTTTTATGCTCCATTCGATATGGGGTATGATATGGACCATATAATTATTCGGGGCGGATGGCTTTGCCAGACCTAATATTCCGAAAAAACCGTCCGCCACTGAATACGGCTTTGCGGATGGCTTTGCCAGACCTAATATTCCGAAAAAACCGTCCGCCAGTAAATTTTACCCAAACTGGGTGGGTAAAATTTACTGGATGTTTTTTTGGACCGCCGGAGGGTTTTGCCGGCTTACAGGCAGAAGTGTCCGGCGGACGGTTCATCCGTCTGGACAGTGGGCCGGTTACACATGTGCTCCCCTCCTTTAAATTCGCCATTGCTTACAGGGATGCCAGATCAGAAACGGCGGTAGCGATCATATAATGACAAGCGGACATTTTCCACGATTTTAAGCTGCGCAGCAGTACGGTCAAATTGAGTGCATTGCCGAAGGTGCAGAGGATCAGCATGCACACCCAAAGGCAGGCAAAGATATAGTTCGCCTCATCAATCTGCTCATCATTGTACAGATCGTGTTGAGAATGGTTAGGGTACTGGTGTTGACGAAAGTCGAGAACTGCGCTATCATCAGTATAAGTTATCCAAATCGTTCCATTTGGATGGTTGGACGGATGATGAGGATACAGCTTATTCAGCCTGTCGTGTGCAGCCATAATGATGATTACAGGGAAATTCTATATATTAGACGAGATAGTGTTGTCATGCGTGGGGTAATCCGTTGAATCGTAGTTGTGCTTCTTAATTTCTTAATAACGTTGCTGCAGTAATCTTTTAACCGGCATACTATTTTCAGCGGCATGCCTGCCCTTTGGCTAAATGTCCGACTTTAAGCGGAACTGAAATATTAGTAACATTCCCCATGGAGTTTGACGATCCGTCGAATAACAAACAACATAAATCACACTATATCCGTTGTTGAAGTAAACAAGAAAGAGAGAAATGTCGGCGCTTTGTGAGATACCGTATTACGACCGAGGCCATACACGAACAATCAAACGCACACAAACAGCAGTAAAAAGAAAATGCACAATCATAACCGGATGAGTAATATCACGCCATTCTGTCTTCGCTCGTCAATTAGGCACGAGACTTGTCTCGGTAACAACCGATCATTAACACTTTATATAAACAAACAAGTGCAATATGTTTTGTTAAGCCCGCTGTTATATTTGGGATGGCGGTCAGCCTTCGCCAAGGATAAACGTGTATTAGAGTTCTCCATAATTTTAGGCACCGCATTCTTGGTGTGACCGGAAACGATGATGTGGAGCATGGTGTGAACAATCGCTTCGGCTTCTCCGTATATGTTGTCTCTGGTTGGCACCGAGTTTTTTAACGTCGTAAGCCATAAGGGAATTATGCTTGTGACGCCTGTTACACCAACAAAGTTGAGGATTTGTTTCAGCTTTGTGCAGGGGCTCACGGGGCGTGGCTAAGCTGCGTTAGCCAATGCCAACTTCTGCAGTGGCAAAAATTATGCAAGTTTATCAGTTGCACTCGATTCAACTGCTTTTCGAATTTTTCGATTGGACGACGTTACATCTGTACATACAGATGCTACGCCGAACAATTAGATATTAAATTGGAAAAGCAGTTGACTCGAGTACATATGATAAACGTGCATTCGCCAACGAGGGAGGTTGTTCATACTGCATTTTCAACTAGCCGGCTGCCGAAATTTAGTACAGAAGGTTAAGGTTGCCGGAAAATGAAGTTTATCGAAGTATGGCACTAACAAGCTAAATACTTCCTTTGGCAAATTCGTGTAAATATAGATACTAACTAGGAAGGTGCACGCCCTTTTGGCGGGCACTGCAAGACGGAAGTGTAGAAGGTATACATGGTAAACATGGGAGGTGGTTTATCCCCAGAACCAGTTTGTCTGCTGGAGACTGCAGAGCAGCAGATAATGTGTAAAATGAATATTATGAACTACAGAAAAGACCCGTAACCGGAAAAAAACCACTTTCCGGCAATATTTTGCTTGAACATTTTTAAGGGGGAATAGAAATAACTATCAGTTCTAATTATTTTTTGAACTTATTCAGCTGTGGTTACGCACTGGCCAGGCTGATGGCAGTCCCGCTCTAAAGGTCACGGACTAATACGTAAAATGGCTCAACGTTTTACCGTGGATCGTAACTGGACGGCTTTTGGAATATATAAGTGTGACGGCAAATCTAAACCCCCTTTACTTTCATAAGATCCTTTGGCAAATTCACCAAACCCTCCGGATGAAAGTCCAGTTGGCAGTCTTGCAGAGTGAACAAACCGGAGGTCAACATTCTGTGGCCAGATTACGGCGGCCTTTGCTGTTTGCCGACAAGTAGTTTTGGTACAAAATATGGAACTCTTGCCACTTCGGGGAATGATTCCGTATATCAGACTCGCTGATACAATTCGATAGGACAGTAATGATACGGTTTTACTATTCTAGTGTTTTTAGCAACGCGACTGCGTGATGAGATTATTTAAGAAATATAGCAGACTGGCTCAAGCGAGGGATCTAAAATAGGTGCCACTTCATCTAGCGGATACAGTAATTCTTGGTGTCCGTTCGTCCGTCTAGCCGCTGTAGTACATGTTGTACGAGTACAATGTCATGACGTGAATTAGTACGATTTGTATGAATCCCTGCAGGTTATTAATATTATGATCATGAATTTTGTTGTATAAAGTCGTCTCAATTTGGATAAATTGAAAGTCTGCAACAATAGTTGCTTTGGAGACCTGGAAACTATTTGAATATCGCTTAACGGAGTGTTGAAACACTTTGGAGTTATGGTATTTATCCGGCAGGAAAATGCATAGAAACGATATTTTAATTCGTTAATATTCACCTCGGTGACTTTCCGCACCCTGGTTCTGTAGTGAGAAGTCCGGTTTACCGTTGTCAGGGGCGGTCCGACTCTGTTTACCGTCCGGTCATTTGTGTGAATTTGGCGGTTAGAAACGGTTTTCATGCTTTCCTCAGCCATCGTGGGTAGTGCAAGGCTTCTATCCGCTTACCATGCACATTTCACGTCGGATGGTAGCCAGGAGTTCGGGTATCGGCGGGGTATGTCGTGACTCCAGTCATCCATATGGATTGCTACGTTATGACTGAACAGGGGTTTTCTAGGGGCTGCATTTATACCTGCACATTGATGCAGGTGTACAAGTACGAGTACTTGAACCGTGTCAAACGGTAGTGGTAAACTGGTCATCGGCAAAGTGCTGCAGTCACTGCAGTGACAACAGCATTTGCATTTTGTTGTGAGTCACGCAGGCAAAATTCTTGGAGTGTGTACAAATTGGTACAAACGGCAAATGACTCCCGTAATGACTCCCGTAAATGACTCCCGTAACTTAAAATGACTCCCGTAATTTATTTTTCATTTTGCAACCAAAGTTGCGCAGAAAAAAACCACTTTTTCACCAGAAAATCGAAAATCAAAAAAATGGAAGATTTTGAAAAGACGAAACTATCAAAATATGATCCAAATCACGGTGCCGCACCGGGCGGTACCACCTGCTTCATGCGCCGGTAGTCCCGAAATTCGTTTTTTTCTAACGTTTAACTTTGGGGTCTTCGTGAAATGTTAATGTAACCAAACAGGAAAGATATTTTTCCAGGAATAAAGGGCAGCTTGAAGGTACTTACTCATTTTCGGCATACGCTTGCTACAGCGACTCTATGCGCCTCTCAGGCAGTGAAAATTGTGCCAACTAATGTTAACAGTTGTTAGAAACTTCGTATAATTTGGATTTTTCACTGATACCTCATCTGAAAAGTTTCGTTCGCTTTTATTATGTGGATGGATATCCAGTCTGCAGTATAAAATTATATAAAGTTAATAAAATTTGAGCGGTATATTACTGTGTGTACCCGCATCAATGTGTAGCTATAAATGTGGCGCTCTTAAAAACCACAGCTGAGCCATGGCGTGGAAATCCTTACCGCTGGATCCGGGCCTGACCGCTGGATTCTTACTGTCGGTACCTAGCAACATACTGTACCCGTATACCGTATGCTTTTTTCCCTACGCCAGACTCCGTGGTGGTACTTTTTTCAGCTTATACAGTTTTTTTGTTGTGCCCCCACTGTCACAATTGCGAATTTAGAAAGGGTGGCACGGAGGCACGCGCCACTTTTTTGAAGAAGTAATTTTTTGAAGAAGGAATTTTTGAAGAAGTGCGTTCTTTAAAAAAAATAAGCAAGTGGAGTACTGCTATTCTGATAATGCGGTAGCCGGTTTTGAAAAAGACTGAAAGAAAAAACCCATTTTTATTGGATTCTTATTGTAGCGAGTTTTGCAATAAAACCGTTTGTTGGCTTCCCGCTCCGCGCGAATGAAGCTCTGGAGATCTTTACTATACTTTATTTACTCAGTCTAAAATCTTCGTTCGAAATATAGGAGTAAGTTGACCGTATTTCTCATAGTACGCGCAAATGCTGCAGAAAGCAGAGTGCATACATGTACTTACTCATTTAAATAATCATAAAAAGTGTGCTCAAAAAAATGATGTACCCGAAAGCGAAAGGTATACTCTAAATTAGCATTTTATATAGAATTTTTAGCAATTTGAGTATTAAAAAAAGAAAAAAAGGCAGCGGCTTCGCGCGAAACTTGCAATTGTTCTTTGGACTCTGTACGTGATACATCATTCTTGACCTTTAACTTTCACTTCAAGAAATTTGAAACCATTTTTGCTATTTTTCAAAGAATTTTTGTAAAATTTTTGCTGGAAAAATGTTCGCTGGCTTCGCGTGAAAATTAACAATATTTTGATGTAATTGCGATAAATTCTACTCTAATGTTTCTGCAGCAATATACATACTTCACCATCCTTTAGGTTTTTCGGTTAAAATTGCCTCGCCCAGACGATTCAAATTCGCCTACTACATTGCCCCACCGCGCCGCATTGAAGGTGCGGTGGTGAATGATTTTTTTCGTATTTTATTTAAGCCTTTTAATGGAATTTCAAATATGGATGCTTATCAGAGCATTTACAAAGGCAGTTTCGGTGTGGGGAATTTCAATTACAGTGCTCTGTACTTGCCAAAAGAAACTGGTGTAAGTAATGTCATAACGTTTGCTAAGCGCTGATTCAATGCTTAAGTCTAGGAGAACATCCAGTATCTATGTGCACCTTTTTTACTCGCCATAGAAAGCTGTTTTCTGCTTCTCCGAAACATTAGTTGCACCACACTACGGTATTTATACCGTGTAAAAAAGCAGGAAGCTTTGAAGTATTTTAGGTCGATGCTGCGTGCATGGGAAAACACGGGTGTTGGCTGCGTGCACGGCTTTTTAAATTTGAATTTTTTTACGTTTTCGTGTTGGCTGGCTGATTTGATATTCAAAGTTTTCTGACTATGGCTTCCATGTAATGCACAGTGCTGCAATAATAAGTAATAAGCATTAGCTGCAAACAGACCGCGTGCTGCATATCCATGCATTTTAGAGCTGGATTCGTGGCGAGATTCTTTAAAAATGTCAGGTTTTCTAAACAGTGAATTAGGAAGCAAAATCAAATCAAGAAGTAAAACTACAGTAGTAATGGTCTAATGGATAACACAGAATTCGCAAAATAAAGTTGTCAGTGTAACCTCTAACACCATAAATATGTTCAGCAATACGGCAATGGCAATACATGCAATAATGCCAACCATTAAATTCGTGCTTGGCCACGCCCACTGGACCATTGCCGATGAAAGAATTTTTTTAAGTGTTCCCCATACCTAGTC